GGAGCCAGCTTTGTTGAGTTCCCACCAGTCACCCATGAGCACCTTTTCCCTGGTACTGAGGTCAACGCTCGTGCTCGAGCTCTTACTAGTGTAATTGGAATACTCGATAACCAAACAAGCGTCTATAAGGAGATATTCGACAGTAGCCGATGCCCCGCTGTCCACGAACATGGAGGAGTTGACAAGCTGCCCATCATCACTTTAGCATTCGACTCACCAGTGGTATCTGTCTTTGCCGTGGTTAGCCCTCAGGATACTCCAGCTAAGCTGGCCATGGTACCGGTAGCACATGCTGGTCCTTGGTGCCACGAGGTAGTAGTAAGGGCATCTACAAGGGCGGTTTGTTACTTGTCATATTGTGTTCAGTTTCCGGGCTATGACAAGTTACCAGTGCCCTCCTATGTTAACATGCCTCATGCTTATGATGGCCGACCACAGCTGTATCCACCCTTTACCTATGATGATAGGAGTATGGGGGCCAGCAGCATGGATGGGGAGCCCTACCACATGTATAAGGACCGCCGGAGGAGTCCCGAACCGTTACAGTTAGCATTGGAAGGTGGGGTCACGCTAGACGAAATGGCGTCGATTTTTATCAAGTTGAATGGTCCTAATAAGCTGTTCTTTGGTGGTCTGGGTGGTGATGATGACAATGGTCCTCGAGCGGCCCCAGGGGGCTTTGGAAGGCTACAGGAAGGGTATGGATACAACGATGCTGGCAAGATTAGGCCCCTGAGTTTACCTGGACCAGGGGATACCTCGACACATCTAGAGAAGGCTCACCGCCTCAATCGTGTTGCCCGTAACACCTCCCTTAGGGAATTCATAGCCGTCAAGTATCAGCACAATTACATAGTACTGGTCTTCTTGCTGGGTCTCATGGGTCTAGGGGCAGTGGTGTATCGGTTCATCGCAGGTTGGATGCAGGTGTTCAAGGTAGTAGCCCCGGATGGTGAGAGTATGTCTCCGGGCTCTGGTGTGGATGATGATGATGACGTCGAGATGAGTGAAGATGAGGAAATGTATGAGGACGACGAGGAGGACCTGGGGGATTCGGGTTTACTATCAACCGATCTGGTTGATCAACCCTATGAGATGGGAAGATTCCTTGATATTAGGCATGATATAATGTACTTACCGGAGTGGCAAGATGTCCTACTGCAGACTAGTATGAACAAGCGCTTACAACAATTCAACGACCTTACTAGGATAGCGTTCAAGCATGGGGAGAGTGATGTGAGGACGTTGCATGGTGGAGTATTGTTCCTTGGGAGGAACGTGGACGACCCGCAGTTCATCTTCCGTAACCCTAAGCAAGAGCTCAGTCAGAGACCTAACGTCCCCAAGTTCACTCAAGCCGTTAGGAATGCCGTTGCCAGTAACGCGATGAAGGAAGTGCGGTATCTAAAAGCCTATTGTCCCAAGGCGTGTGTGGCTAGTTGGAACACGTTCGAAGGGGTTATTCAGGACTTCGTCGCCAAACACCCGTCCACCTCCCACGTTGATTGTCGAGATATCGATCCTGAGGTGGCGCGAGATGCATCACTCATCATCATGGCCCTGAGAGATACGGATGCTCATGAGGACAATATGATGCGGGATAAGCTGGGTAGGATTGCCTTGTTCGACCTTGGATGTGCCTTGGCTGACCGTCCGCTGCCCAGGGATGACATGACTCAGGAGTATCTCGATAACTTTGCTATCTGGCATCAGAATCCTCTACTCCTGGACGTTCCCTTCACCCCAAAGCATGTGCGCTATCTTAAGTCACTCGACTTCGATAGGCTGAAGAAAATCTGGGTATACTATACGTATCCCCAATATGTGGTCGCGGAGTATGATAGAGCCAGACGACGCGAAAGGCTGCGGAGTCATCTCAGATCGCCATGCTCAGCATCGTTCGA